ACAAAGTGAACTGGTTAACTTGATAGAAGTAGAAAGAGTCGACGCTTTGCAGAACTTTCACCGTAATTGGATTGAGTTTTGTGTGAATGCAGCGTATAGTTTTTTTGCATTGCAATCAAATGGAAATGTTCAAAAATAGGTGAAAGGTGCCCTTCCTCGACGTTCCCACCACTGGTTGTTTTCTTCCCGAATCCTCTACCCGATCACTACTGATAGATGTGAAGTCATCAGTCATCGCCGTTGAACTCAAGACGTCCTTCAATGTTACTCCCAGCCACATTCAGTTGCATAAATTCTTGTGGTGCTTTTTTGTATGCAAGCTTCTACAGGGTTCTGCTCTTGTGGTGGAAAATATCCCGATTTCGGCAACTTTTAGATAGATGCGACTCTGATCATTTGATGATAACATCGCTTCTTCCCAGTTCTGCTTCATCTTTCGATAAGCATAAGTAACAAGAGCTCCCCACTCTACCGCTGTAGTTCTTCGGATAAAAAGGATAACGAAAATAGAATGAGAGGGAAAACATTGGCAAGGTCACCCTCCGCTGCTCCTCTTTTTGAAATCTGGTCAGAAGCTCGAATTGTCGTAAAATTAGTCTCCATGGGAAGACTAACCTCATGGATATGACCATCATATTCGCTCAGCTCAAACCACACCAACGGGACAAATCGGCGTAGCGATCCGCAGGCGCCGCCAAAATACCTTCATTCATCAAATCAAAGCAGAAAAATAACCTAAAAAGTTTACTGCCAGTTTGACCTCCCGAACGTGAATCGCATCGTCGGTTGCCGCAAACAGCCGAAAGCACATTGAAGTATGGAAAGGATCTATGATGAAACATCAGAGTTATGATCAAAAACTAAAGCCGCATCTATCTTTGACTGTTACTGTACATTCCCCTTACTGTACATACCCACACCTCCACATTACACATTACGTGGAGCAAAAAGCACCATGGGGCTGCACTCCATGAAAGATTTATTTCATGTTATCACTTACTCAACAGGTTGCAACAAAAGTGATCTCTAGAAAAATGTACCTAGCTCACCTCCAAAGACTGGCGTTTCCACTACGAGATGAGTAGTCCGCAGCTGCAAGAAACTGAGCTAGAGAATAGTGATACACGGTGTTGCCCTCCATACCTCGTACAGCTTTATACTCAAGGTGCAACATTTACATCGATGCGAAGGTCCCGCAGCGAAACACGTTTTTGGTGGTGAGACAACTAGACCTGATAGGGCGCAGACAAGAAACATGTATAGCTACAACCAGGCGTGTGGCTGGTCAGCAGCGCCAGGTGGAGCATGGTGTCAACACAAGGGTACCACTGCTCTTAGGCCTCGTCACCGTGCAGCAATGGGCCGAGAGTGGCAGCTACAAGAATAAGGATCCACGGCTGTGAGTTTTAGCTTGTCTTCAAATTATGAAACTCCTTTGAGTGGATTGTGCAATAGGCTCAACCTTGATACTCGGCCCCTTCGGAATGTGGAAATCTTATCTAAATCTGCAGTATTTTTCCTGGTATTTCACGTTTTGAAGGCGTTGATAATAGAATTAAACTAGGAAGAGGGATATCTTGGAAATCCATCAGCGTGGCAAATAATCAATAAGCAATGCTCGGAGATTTTGCCAATCATTCAGCACTAGTTTTGATTTCCGCGGCACCTTTGACCTTGACTGAAAACAGCGTCGTTGAAGGGTTGTCGAATCGCAATACATACTTGCCCGGCACTGTTGGTATACTACCGTACTCCGGTAGCTGAAACGAGACACATGCACAGCTGAGAAATGTGAGCATTCATGATCAAACTATTTTGTACCTTCAAGCTTGTCAAGACAATTTTCGGCCAAACTTTTACATCATTTCCAATCTCTCGTCGTACAATCTCAAATTCTACATCTCCTGTAATCACGAAGTTCCAGACAAGTCTGCCAGCTCGGTTGCACTCTCTAAATCACATCTTTTGTACATAGTAAGCATCACTGATAGTACACTTTTTACCTGACTAGTTCAACAGGCTGGTGGCTTTTCATCGTGAATGTCTCACTTGGTGGAGGTTTGGAGAATCCGTGATCACTCCACACGTCGTCTACCTGAACAAACAATGACTAGCAAAGCCCGGGCACTTCAAGGTTATTATTGACTGAAAGTTTGATCAGCTTCTTTCACTTTGTTGACTTTATTCGATAATATACAGTAAGAAACCAACTCCTCTGTATTCAGCGCTTGTGACGGGTTTGTAAGGGCGGATGCAACTCTCTGGATGTTCTGAGTGACCGGAATCATCTCGTCGTGTACCACCGTACTCCACTGGAATTGTCTAAAACAGCGACACATCGTTTTCAGGGAGTGAAGTGCTTTTGGACCTTTATTAGTACTTTACAGTGCACTCTTCCAAACCTCATTTTGTGTTATTCTTACGAACAATGGGCATGCTTGCACTTCTGATTTATGAGAACGTTTGAGAATATCTGCTGTGACTCGTATGCTGCAGTGTGTTATTGCAACTTTACGGCAATTGAGGCTATTTAGTATCAGTGACGATAGATATCTCTATTATAACGCGACAATACTACCGAGGGATCTCTGCCTGCAACTCGCAGTCCTCTAGGTATTGAGATGATTCAGTTAACGACTCTTCCCGGTGAGTTCGAAGTATCCGCCCTCGCCTTTAGCTGCGACACAAGACTCCGACACACGATGACGAAAGCGACAGTGTGCATGGCAGTACTTTCAGATCTACCCAAGCCTTGATGAGCTCACGTCATGATGCTCCAGAACAGTAATTTTTCTTCATTCTTTTTCTTTTCTATGAAGCTGCCGCACGCGGGAAAAGCAAGTAGATCCGAGCTCTCGAATGTCTTGCTCTTGACTATTCGAATTAGGGAGGCTGCCCTCAAGGTATTCTAGTTTCGATGATATCGTACCATTTTTGATTATGTTTTTGGCTTTCCTCAGCTTTCTCGACATTCCTTCTTTGCTTTAACATTAGTTTTCACTTCGCCAGTTATTGATTGGGAACCTAGTTATTGATTGGGCTTGGGAGAAAAATTGATTGCAGCAGATAGAGACGAAGAAGGCAGAGTTCCTCGGAAGCGCTATTCTTATGTCAATGTTCCTCTTCTATCAATCCGATAGTCTTTTAATTGATGCTGAGTCGGTGAGAATCCCTTATTTCACCGCCAGAATTTATCGCAACATTTCTTCCACACTATGCACGTGATCACTTCAATGCATCTAGTGAGCATATTCAAAGAAGGTCTCTGATCTAGGATTGTTCCATGCACATTCAGTATTTGTGGAGCCCTAAATAGGCTTTCACGTATTTCGGATACTCCCGTAAAACTGATGTAACTGAACTGACGAACTATGACTAACGAACTGCTCTTTACAATGTCAAACCGGAGGCGAACAGTGTCCGAACGGTGTCCTCATCTCTTGCAGTTTCTTTTGCTGAGTGAGAGGGCCTTCTGTGAACTAACCAATTGCGATCGGTTGTCTTTCTCGCGTTGACAATGCATTTTTGCTTCACTGACAAATCCAGCTGACAAATTGGGATACATCTCTGCTCCTGCGCCAGTTCACACATTGCTTCACAGCGGGTAAGCGCCCAATTTGAATAGTACATAAATCTCACAAGAATAGTGTGAACCCGCAAAAGACGAACTTTGCAAGATTAAATTAAGGGAGTAGAGTCGACATACGATAGATCGAAAGATCTCATCGCTTGATATGGAAATGGCACCCTCCCAATTAACCAAGTACTTCCGTTTTTCATTGTGGGTAACGAACACCTATGTCGCCTCTCTCGACAGCTCACCTCTCAGTGCCCATCAAGCTCGTCTTTGCTTGTTAAACTGGTCATCACCTACTATCTTCGCTGTTATTTGATAAGATGTTTCTTTCATTGTTAAAGGCACAGTCCGCGATCAGTATCGAAGTTGAAAATATGGCGTCACGAGGTAGAGTGGTCCGCGTCGAATGACCTTGTACCGGTTTCGCGGCAAAAAATTCTATGGGTGGGGCGCTGTAGCGCAATATAGGTTCAGTGGCTCCTCCTTTTTTCCAGTGACTCCGCCCCCAGAGTCCGCCCCTAATGACCGACTTCCAGTCAAAAATGAGATTGCAGGATGAAAAAGCATGATAATCGCCACTTGTACGATTGTAGAAGTCTTATCGGTGAATCAGCCGTGCATATGAGGGCGTAATTTTGGAGATAGAGTTGATTGGGCACGTACAAACTGGGATCGAAATGGGGTTCTATCTAGGGCAGGTGGAGTGTTTTTTGTGCTTTTTTTGTTCACAGTCGAGTTGCCCAACCCCTTTATGTGGAACCCCCTAATCCACCATCTGAGATGGCGAGTAATCGCGGGTTCTTCCTTTAAGAATAGTTTGTCACCGTGTGTCACTGATAAGATTACTTGGCTCTCCAATAAACCGTTTTTCAGATGGTCGGTCTACACCACACTATTGGAGGGAAAGCACAACTACCTAAGTGCGGCAAAGTGGTGTGCATGACGGACCTATTCACTTGTGTTGAACTTTATAGGTGCAGAAAACCTTCATGCACAGCAATTTGTGCTTCTACAATGAGAGTGAGCGCGTTCCGATATGATATCTTGCCCTACACTCCACAAGGTGAGCATCAACTGCGAGAGCTGATTGGCACAGTGTTCGTGTAATTACGAACGCTTCGCAACCCACCACCGGTCACTGTCACTCGCTCATTGTCTTATGGAACTAGGCAAGCCTTCGACACTCGTGGAATTGAAGTGAGTAACCTGCCATTAACATCCTGGCTTACCACTGTTCATAAATCGATTATCTCTGTTACATCTGTGTGAGGCTAGGCATGTATCGAGTGGGATGGATGACATTTGTGTGTTTACAGGCCTTCAAAGAAAGCGCTATTCTGGCGTCAGGGGTAGTGAAGATTCCAGAGACCTGTTGGAACGAATCAAACGACACTGGATTTGTGAGAAGACAACTGTCCAGGTTTCATGTAGGAAGAACATGAAGCTCATTACTCACATGGGGTTCCAAATATTTCTGCAGATCGGAGACATCATCGAGGAACATCATATGACTGAATGTCTTCGTATCCAGGATTAAACTCGTCATCTGAAGCGCAACACGTGAGGGATATAAGAATCGGTTCCCTATAGCGGTCGTGCGTTATTCTCATTATGTTCAATGTCACCGGTCACCGCCCTTGTCGGAACTTATGCAAATCTCAGAAATCAGCGAACTCACCTTGACTACGAAAGATAACACTGCAGGTGGATTGATGAGGACCATTTTGCAGTATCTGTATGACGCCAATAACTTTTTGAAAACAAAAACATTCGAGTAATAATAACTAGTTTTACGAAAGCGTGGCAGATGGAAGAAGCAATTCAAACATACTTACATTGTCACGAAAATACTCAGACCAGATTTTAGTCACGTGATGGGCCAATTGTGAGCATGTTGAAAGAGGATTCAGAAAGTCACTAAATCGTAAGCCTTTCAGGTCGATGACGGCAGCGATGGAGCACGGGCGTCCTGCAATGCTCAGTCACACCAGGGTGTCTTATGTTGTAGCAGGTCGTTGCTGTGGTATGTGGCGCATACACAAGCGCAGACTGTGTCTCCAATGTATTTGTGGGGCTCTCGTGATATCTACAGTCGTCATCCGGGCAATGATTAGAGCGGCAAGGGTCGCGGCGCGGCTACGGCGTGTCACGATCACGGCGATCAGCTGTTTCCAGCCTACTTTAGTCATTTTCTCCCTAATTTAACCGGGCCTGTACAACTGCTATTCTCGATATTAGTTGTTCCTTGTCTTCACAAAGTAAATTATTATTGAGATTCCTCTGATTTTCGGGCGCGATTAAACAACTGAGCAGACAATTAAACGAACACCTGAAAAAATCGCATAACACTCCACTGTAAAAACAACAAAAAATCTCCACGCCCCATGTATTTCTTAAAAACAACAAAACAACTAGCCGTGGAAAAAAACAGAAAATGTAGTGAAAATCAGGAAAAATGGCCAAATCAGGCTGGAAAAGTTGATGGCCCCCCCTCATGATGCAATGCAGCTACTTTAACACTCAAATGCCCTGATCAAGTGCCCGGATGACGACTGTATTGTGAACACTAAGGTTTTTCCATTAGGAAATGTGCAAGGACGACTTTGCTGTGATATGATGCGCGGATAATCTTTACTGAGGTTCAATAGAGAAAACATCCCTTTCATGCCAATCATCGCGTTCTTCTCTCTCTTCATATCTGAAAAACTTAGCTCTTTTGCGGTAGCTTCGTCCACTGGGCTCTTCCACCGGCTCCGGTGTTAGTCAGTAGCTTTTCTTATAATTGTCGAACTGTCAGAAACTGCTACGTTATAAGACAACGATTGCTGAGACATGAAGCAGCAATTTCCGGTGCATGTGCCAGGAATTGAAAACAGTCGGACCACCTGTAAAAGGCTCAGTATCGGAGACACTCCTTTCCAATCGGTAGATACCTCCGCCGTCGATGGTCCCCGCGAACGTTGTTATTTCGCCTTCCTCCCCATATTCGTCTACGCCTACTCAACTTACCCTGCTCCTGTCGCTGTTCTGTCCACTCTTGTCAGCTCTTCGTCTACAGCAACTTTTCCGTGGCTGCTACGTGCCCAACTGGTCAAACCGCTGTAGCTGCTCTATCCTGTCGTCACCTCAGAACGAAATTCCCAGACTAGATTTGATGAATTCACCGCGGCCGAACGTACACGTTGTCCACCTACACGCTCTAGGATTCCTCTTCCACTGGTCGATGTTGCACTGTGGTGGGAACTGGTCGCGCTTCGTAGACGAATCCGACGCAATGTGTTACAATAATCTGAGGATTAATTTCGCCATTATTATGGTCCAGTTTGGGCTATCAATTGCGATGTTTCCAAAAGGGAATCATTTTTGCTATAGTAGATCATTTGTAAGCTGTAGGGTCTGATGTCCCACAAAATGCCTCGATTCACTGCGCCCTAGCCATACGTGTCTGTGAATAAGGAAGGAACACTGAGAGAGAAGGTTCGTTAGCCGAAAGATAACGATCAGCGGTTCAACGTAGTATGAAATTGCAAGAATAAAGAACTTTACACGGCTCGTTTCATGTTTTTCTCAGATCAAAAGACTCGGTCAAAAGAAGTCTTATAATTACCACTTTTCTTCTCGGCTTCGGCTAGAATACGACTAGTCACCTCATGTATCATGTAGTATGTGTGCAGTACATGTGATAACGGAATGACTTTCATAATCTGAATCCAAAAAATACAGCATTAAGAAATGATAATACGGCTATGAGGAAAGTAACGCGAATGAGGCAGTGAAAATCATTGATGTCACTGCATCGATGCATGAATCGTATGTGGGTGTCCAAAGACCAGATCTCGTCTAAACAAGCGCCCTCTAGAAGCGAACCTCTAGATGCTCGTTAGACCAGCGTGCGGTAAGGTGTTAGAAATTTTCTGCAACAAGGGGTCGTATCGATTATCGTATGTGGGGAGTAAGCGAGAATCAGGAACGAGTAACGCACCAGCCCTAAGCTGCGGGGGGGGGTGGAGGTTCGGCTGCAGAGATCTTAGATGTTGAATAACATTCCTTTCATATAATCAGTTAACAGTTGGGAGAGCTTGGGTCAGAACTGGGGTAGAGGCGAGACGGGGGAAGATGAGCAAAGTGCACATAACTTAAGTCTAGCCACGCCCACAGTGGGCGTGGCCTGACGTATGGCGTATCCTTATGTGTGGAGAACGCCGCATAAAATCAAATTTGTTAACTGACAGCATTATTCAGTTAGCATCAACTAGTGGGTAATTACGACCAAATAGCACAAATTGAAGAGGGCAGGCATTATGGACCTTTCTACGAACACATCCGTGCATGATAGAGCTCCCAGCTGGTGGGGGTGAGTCTAACTGCTCAATCAATGACCAGAGACAGTGACTAGCATAATGCGAAAATAGATTTAGGAAAAAATGTTTCCACGAAAAGTGTTGTACCTCTCTGAGATCGCATCCTTCCATCTTCTGGAAAGTAACATAAACATCTCCACAACGAGGAGACTCTCCCAATAAAGAGACGCGGAATCGCTGAAACTATTGTTTTCGGTTTTTACGTGTGAAAAAGGCGCGACAAAAAGGTAAAGAATTGCAAATGTGAATTTTCAGCACAAGGTTCTCCTAGTCTGCAACAAGCCGAGTTGCTGGATTTGGATTTCTAAGTCACTAGCGTAAGCACGATGTGGTTGTTTCGCATGAAATTGGATAAAAAGAAATGTACTGTACATACAGGTCGCAACCATAGAAGACAGTTGGGTAGAGCCAGCTCCTCCACCAGCAATACTCCTTAACAATCGTAGGGTCCACCACTCAGTCCTATCTATCCGGTTCAGGGCACGTCTTGCCGTTGGGAAATTTTTTTGACCCATCAAAACAGTTTCCCTCTAGGATCCTCTCCTATAGTACGACTCCCCTTCTTCGCTCCCTGCCCCTCCCTGCTTTGCTTTCCCCCAAAGGCTGCCGTCGAGCGGAAGGGAGGGATTATATAGCGCGTAAGGAACAGCGGGAATTGAGAGAAATCAGATCTAGCGACGGTAAACATTCGTGCATCTATTTATTTACTCATTTATTTATTGAGCTATTGTAGCCAATAATAACCAGTTGGCAACTCAGAAACGTGACCACGGAATAATAGTAGAAATGATACAAGGCGAAGAAATGTGAGGTAAGAAAAAATGCTGATAATGTGTACCATTATTTCAGGCAGAAGTCTTATTGTTATCCTTATATGTACTCCTCATTCCTGAGTCGGGGTAGGCGTGGCATCCGAATATGGCGGTTACTGATTACTCGTGGGATATATCAATTTTGGACAGCCGCCGTCTTGTTCTTTGTTGAACAGAGAAGTGAAAAAAGTTGGGTCAAAATAAAAATATCCCCCTAGAAGCATAGACACCACGACGTTCAGTTGAAGTACGCAGCTACGCCTACTTCATCTCAGGGATTTAAAGTGAAAAAGACATTTCGACCGAGTCACATATCAGCAAAGGTTTCGCTGACCAGAGAGAAGACGTGTATACGACTACCAGGGCGAAAGATACCCAAGATGTTCCTCGACAAGCAGGAGCTGGCTCTCGAACATCGCCTTCATGTACACCAAAATATGAAGTCATCTCCAACCGCAACCTGACTGGGGAAGGCCTTCGGAATTCATGTCACCTCCGAACAGCTGCGAAACTTCTAGTATGGAGTCACCCATGAATCCAGTCACCTGGAGAGCAGTAGTCTCTATCTGGGAGACCTCCGTCATCGAGCAGCACCGTTAACGTCGCTACGATCTCGGAACCGGACGTGCCTGGAATGGAGAGAACGGATATTTTCTTCGTGGGCCCCGGCTAAACGTGAAGCGCTGGCGGTTACATCGAGCAACTCGAGAAGAATATCCTCTCCACATATTGTCGCCCGTACCTTCTTGGAACTTTGTACTGCTACGGATTGGTGACCCCACATGGAATCAAAGGCGTTGGGAAAACTCTTGCCTACTTGGAATGGAAGGGCGTTGAGTGCCTGAATAAGGTGGAATATCTAAGCAGGTAACCTAGCCTAAACCCACTCAATTACCTGGTTCGGGCGGAGTTCAATAGGGTGGTCTACGGTGGTGGAGGAATCGACTATCTCGCTGATCTCAGGCACCACATCGCGGTCGCGTGCCAGAATCTCTCGATGGCGCTCCTCCAGAAGGCTGTGGCGGAGTATCATGATAGTATTTAATATGCTCTTCAATATGGTTATAGAAATGTCGCGATAAGAATCCACTAAAGTGTAACTTATAGCGCCTCGAAGTCGAGGAAGAAAAAAATTTTTACATTGGCCTCCCCCCCCCCTGTATATACAGGTGGAAAGGTGGTGGGGGGGGAGGGATGGTGAACGATACGAGAATGGAGGGGACTGGCCGGCCACATTGGAAGCTGTTATTGGGACTTCGACTCCGGATCCCATCTTATTGTTAGTAGGTTCGCCAACCCTCTGTAGTCCACCCATAATCTTGCAGGGTGGGTCTCCTGGGAGGGGGGCGGGGGAGGGGGGGGGGGGTAAATAGGCCAGAGGAGTGAGCATTGCTTCCCGAAAGATACCTGCAAAGATACGAAAGAATGAGGTTTAGAGGCGAGTACGACTCCCTATGGGGATTCCCAACGTAGGGACTTGACCTGAACAGCTTAGCTCATAGGGTCTGGCGTTTTAGGTCCACTAGTGCTTCATCACAGCTGCCACTGCTATGCCATTATCGGGAGCATCCCTGTTCCGCAAAATGGCCAATTCATGGAGGGAACTTTCCGCGTTTGCTTCCTTTTTTCTTGTTTTTCAAGTCCTGAGCTTGACTGTGGTACAGCAGGTGCTCTCATTCACAGTATCGTCTATAACACCCTTCAAAAATAGAGAAGACTTAACTTGAGTAAAAAATGGATCAAAATTGCAAAACAAAAGAAGCAATCATGGCGTGAATAAAAAAACAACCTCTAGAGTTGCTTTCGAAATAGGGAATTCTGTATAGAACTCCAGATTGCTACATCTCGCGTAGCCAAGAACCTCCCTGAAACAATGAATTTTGATGAGGCCTCGCTCGATTTGAAATGCAAAAACGTTCCAGAAACGTGTCTTCTTGAGTCTTTACAGACTCGATCTCATGAAAATTTTCCAAACTTCAGCTACAGACTCCTCCCTGCGGACGGTGGGGCGAATCAAAGGGTGTGTGTTTGTTTGGCGCGGCGCAAGCCATTATCCACCAATAGTGAAGCTCAGGCGAGCAAAACTGGTAAACTTGTTGGCGCAAAATTCAATGTGCTGAAATTTCAGCACGCCCCACGCCCCAATTTTACCAGCAAAACTGAGAAAATCATAGTTAAAGGAAAACATTTGCTGTTTACAGAAGTTCCGAGAGGGCCTGATGACCAAATAAAGGCAGTATGAGACAGAGGATACCTGTGGCTGAAAATATCCTCTGCTCTTTTCCTAGCTAACTTCTCGTCCCCTCCACAAGCCCGTAGAAGCCGTGCGAGATAGAATGGTGAGTCGAGGCATTCTGGCACCGGTATCGATTCTCTGAATCAAATGAATACACAACGAATATATCGCAACCTCAAATTGGCTAATCGCAAAATAAGCCTGTAGCAAAACTTCGCTCACCTCATTTTATTCGCTTTTCGAAGAATATCCTCCGGAAACGGATCCGGCGTTATGAGGTCGTACATTTTACTTTTTTGAGAAAGTTGGTATAGACTATAACTAGAGTGCAGTAAAAAAGAGATTGCATTGGTCATAAATCACAACAACAAAACAATCACGCATTACATAGATGGGACAGCTTGTAAGTGAAGAGGCGATACTAACGAAACGTTGCGTTTGGTTACTCCAGAGATGATCATTCAGACAGTTATCTAAGGCGGTAGAGATCGAAATTCCTAGTCCATGCACTAACGTGGCCATCGTACCCACATTTTGTCATCAATGGCGGGCAGGGTTGAGCACGACCTCTGGTGAACCTTCTGCGAGGGCTGAATGGGGCGGGGGTCGTAAGCGGTGAGTCAGTCAGCAACAAACGGCGTCAAGGTGTCAGCATCGCTAGGTTGTGAGGAAACCGCTAACGAAAGCACCGTGTTCAGAAAATATTGCACAAAAATCGTATATGAAATAAACTGCTGTCTTAACGCCGCAGTACGCGTTCGAAATCCGTAACAAGAACCACTGAAAGTAATATCGGCCAACAATTGCATCCAACCCACCATCCAAGTTACCCACATACCAAGTTAAAACGTGTGATGTGCATAATGGCATACGCATGAAAGCGTTAAAGGCAACTTTCCACTGATAAAAATAGGATAATGACCTCTACAAATGTTGTCGTACGATCCGGAAGGACGATATGCTTAGAGGACTGCGCATACTTTTTAAAAAATATGAAATCGGCGAAAACAATCACGCCTAAAAAGCTGATAATTAGGCATCATATAGAACCACTACTAGCACTATGCCAGACCCCCACCGGCTGCATAGCTATGTAGCTATTAGCCACTATCGGCTTATCTACTCTGCCATAAGAATTCGGAACTATTTTTCTGCTGCTTTCTCCTCATAATTCGATACGGTAGAAACTATTTCACTCTAGTAAGTTATGATTTTCGTTTCTTCCGCAATCTGCGTACGCGAGCTGTTCCCTTTGAGCTGAGACGAGGCTCAGATTACGGCATGAAAGCCTT